CAGGTTTCTGCCCCATACAGTAGAACTGTCTTGACATTTGTATTGAAAATCCTGACCTTGGTGTTGGTTGACAGTTGCTTTGAGTTCCAGATGTTCCTCAGTTGTAAATATGCTGCTCTTGCTTTGCCGATCCGCGCCTTCACATCTGCATCAGATCCACCCTGTTCATCAATGATGCTGCCCAAATACGTAAAGGTTTTTACATCTTCCAAATCTTCTCCGTCAATTTTGATTGGATTAGTGCATTCTGTGTTGTATCGGAGAATCCTGCTTTTCCCTTTGTGTATATTGAGACCTACTGCTGCTGAGGCTACTGCCACACTGTTTGTCTTCTCCTGCATCTGTTGTTGCGTTTGGGATAGAAGGGCCAGATCGTCTGCGAAGTCTAGATCGTCCAACTGCATCTTAGATGTCCATTGTATCCCGCGCTTTCCTTCAGACGTTGACGTTTTCATGATCCAGTCGATCACCAGGAGAAAGAGAAAGGGTGAGAGTAAGCAACCTTGCCTAACACCGGTATTCACTTTGAACGACTTTGTCAACTGTCCTCCATGCACGATTTTGCAGTGTAATCCATCATATGAGTTCTGTATGATATTGACTATCTTCTGAGGCACGCCGTAGTGTCGAAGAAGTTTCCATAGTGTTGTTCTGTCCACGCTATCAAATGCCTTTTCGTAGTCAATGAAGTTGATGTAGAGTGATGAATTCCATTCAATTGATTGTTCCACAATTATCCGTAGAGTTGCGATTTGATCTGTACACGATCTATCCTTACGGAATCCTGCCTGTTGGTCACGAAGTTGGGCGTCTACGCAGTCCTTCATCCTGTTTAACAATACCCTGTTGAAGACTTTTCCCGGTATTGAGAGAAGAGTGATGCCCCTGTAGTTATCACACTTGCTGAGATCGCCTTTCTTCGGTATTTTGATCAGTAGTCCTTCTTTCCAGTTTGTTGGTACTTGTTCCTCATCCCAAATCTTATTGAAGAGAATGTGGAGTATCCGTGCAGTTGCCGCTACGTCTGCTTTTAGTGCCTCTGCTGGGATGTTGTCCGGTCCTGCTGCTTTGCCACTCTTGATTTGTCTGATGGCCATGCTGATTTCTTCTATTGTTGGTGGGCCAACATTGATTGGGAGGTCCGTGGGTGCTGCTTCGATGTTGGGTGGGTTCAGTGGAGCTGGTCGATTCAAGAGTTCTTTGAAGTGTTCCACCCACCTGTTTTGTTGCTCTTCAATGTTGGTGATTACCTTGCCTTCCTTGCTTTTCACTGGTCGTTCTGGTTTGCGGCGATTTCCAGAGAGTTTCTTTGTCGTGTCATACAATTGTCTCATGTTTCCTTCTCTTGCAGCCTTTTCCGCCGTCATTGCTAAATCTTCCACATATTTACGTTTGTCGGTTCTGATGCTCCTCTTCACTTGTTTGTTTATTTCCGTGTATTCAGCTTGTGCCTTGGCTTTTTCTGCTCTTGTTCGGCTGTTATTGATCGCTGCCTTCTTGTTCCTCCTTTCTTGAATCTTATCCAGTGTATCAACAGTGATCCATTCCTTGTGGTGGTGCTTCTCGTGACCCAGGACCTCATGGCATGTTGAAGTGATTGCCTCCTTGATCCCTTTCCAGTTACTCTCCACAGCAGTTCCTTCTCCATTGAGTAGATCGTGAAAGGCCTGGAACTTGTTGCTGAGGACTATCTTGAATTTGTTGAGTTTGTTAGTATCCTGGAGAAAGGCCGTATTGAACTTTTGTGATATTGTCCGCCCAATCGTCCAGTGCTTCTTGAGTTTCAATTTCATCTTGGCGACCAGCAAGTGACGATCTGATGCTATATCAGCTCCTCTCTTGGTTCTCACGTCCTCTATAGTCCTCCTGAACGTTTTGTTGATACAAATATAGTCGATTTGGTTTTGCGTGGTGTGATCCGGTGAAGTCCATGTGGTTTTGTGTATGCGTTTATGTGGGAATATGGTGCCGCCTATGACCAGCTTATTGAAGGCACATAGGTTTGCAAATCTCTCACCATTTTCGTTTCTTTCTCCCAGTCCGTGTCGTCCCATGATGTCTTCATATCCAGTGTTGTCCGTTCCAACCTTGGCGTTGAAATCTCCCATCAGAATGGTCAGGTCCTTTGTTGGGCACTTCTCGACTATTGACTGCAGCCTATTGTAGAATTGATCTTTAGCGTCTTCATTGTAGTCGTTGGTAGGCGCATAGCATTGGATGATGTTCATTGAAATGCCCTCTTTCTTTGTTTTAAACGAGGCTTTGATGATCCTTGGTCCATGAGATTCCCATCCTATAAGTGCATTTTGCGCTTGTTTGGACAGGATCAATGCAACTCCTTGTGTATGTGGTGCATTTTCTTCTTCATGGCCGGAGTATAACAGGAGCTCTCCTGTAGTTAGTCGTTGTTGTCCAACTTGTGTCCAATGTGTTTCACTGATCCCAAGTACCTCTAGGTTGTATCTTCTCATTTCTGCAGCAATCTGGAAGGCTCTTCCGGTGTCCCACATTGTACGAACATTCCATGTACCTAAATAAATGGTCGCTCTGGTTGTCAGAAGGGGCATCGGCCTCGTAACTTCCGAAGGGATTCGGCTTTCATCATGAGGCGTCATAATTCTTCTAAATGAAGATCTTCTGACTCCCAGGGCAGAGTTTAAAAGGTTTGAATAATTTTTTCTGGTTAGCGTTTTTTTAGCGGTTAGTGAAATTGAAAAGGCTATAAGCGGTATAGAGGGATGGAGAGTAGAAGAGTCTGATGGACTAACCTCTGAAATGGTGGTCCAGTTTTAAATTAGATTAATTGAACTCTTAGCTTAGTTCTAGAAAATGGACGTAATCTCATATGATCTCAATGATTCTAGTTTATAAAAAAGAAAAAAAATCCCCTTATGACAACCACACAGGAATTAGTTAAACCAATAGTGTCTAAAATATTAGCCTCAATAATATTACGACGCCAAACTAGAGTTTGCGAAGAGCACACCCAAAAAAACCAGGTTTATCTCAGACCTGGACGTAGATGTATGAACCAATTATTCAACTTTTCTCAGGTTCTGAGAGATACTTTTCGACTATAATTATATTCCTTGACACTAAGGTGGCGTTCGACAATGTTGATCGTGAGGTTCTGTGGCAATGTCTGTCGTTAGAAAGCTTACCAAAGAAATACGACAAACTTGTACAGACTCTCTACGTAAACACTAACGGTGGAATCAAAGCTTATAGAGTACTTTCGTCGAAATCAGTTACTTCAAGTGATGTTTGCCAGAGTTGTCCGCTTTCCCTATTTTTATTTAACTCGGCCATATACATTCTTTTAAACATAACAATTTCATCGTCTGACTTTTCAGAGATTGATCATTCACCAGGAGATACACCTATTGATGGTAGTCAGTCAGTCAGCTACAATGTAGGACCAGGCACACACGTGCATCGGTCCACGTTGTCATACTTCATTAACACAACAAGATGAACACCGGATTCAGTGACAGTAATACATAAAAGAAAGATTGCATATAAGAATATAGTACAGGAAGAAAGAATTAGTTCGTAGAAAGAAAGACATGGAGCAATTTTAATCTCATGGTTTAAGGGAAGACAGAGAGTGTACACAACCATGTCACTGGTCGATTCTGAGCCATGTCACCCAGTCTCCAACCATTGGTTACGATAATCACACGAAGCCCAACCAAGTAGTCTGCATCTACCAACATGGCTAGGGCTAGAAGTTAGTGATTTCAAGGACTGATGCCACGTTTTGGTTTGGCCTCCCCTAACTTTCTCTCAACCATCCCCTACACTAGTCAGCATTGCGCATCGTGGAAATTGGTGTTCAGGCATAGGTAACACGTGATCCAACCATCTCAGTCGATGAAGATTCACAACCTATTGATGATATGGTTCTGTTTGATAAAGACATTGACAAAATACAGTCCTCTGATCATTTTGAGTGAAAATGCAAGCGCGCTTGGGATGCAGTTTTCTCCCACTAAATGTAAAATACTTCAGGATTGGCTTGCGTCAGGGCCTGAATTAATGACAGAAAGTGAAGTAGTTGAATACATCGAGCACTTTACTTATCTTGAGAGTCCGGTGCCTGGCGAACTCTTAGCACGTATCAATAAAATTCAATTGGCTTTCCCCAACTTGAGTTACTTGTGGCGTAGGCGAGATATCCGTCTTCTAACCAAAGGATGAGTTTGCTGCGCAGCGGTTCTCTACGTTCTACTTTATGGATGTGAAACATGGCCATTAAGAGTAGAGTATATTCGTAGATTCTTTTATATTCGATCGTAGGTATCTTTGAAGCATTACTCGTGTATTTCGAGACCACCGAGTAAGCAATACCAGGGTTAAGAATAGGGAACTAGGTAAGGTTGTCAAATCGGTTGATGACTGACAGAAAATCTTCATCAACTGAGGTGGTTGTGGCATGAGTAACATATACTCAATAACTCACTACCTCGATGGATGGTGTTGTGGTTTAGGAGTAGACTGGAGGTAATCTGAGGAGAAACAAACCAAAACATGGCTGCAGTCTGCGAAGTCCCTAACAGTATAACTGGACTATGTTAATAGGTGTAGATTACCTGGTTGAGATTCATGTGATTATCGTGACCAGTGGTCGGAGACTTTGAATGACACGGATCGAAACCGTTTGCCATGTCGCAGGTGTATCCATTATTTGTCTTCCCTTAAGTTTTGGGCTTCTGAATTCCCTATAACCTTTTCTGTGTTTTCACTTCACTAATTTATATTTTCTTGAATCGTGTCTTCGATGTCTAATCATTTCTATCAACACTCATACTGCTACTACCTCTACTATTCTGAGACTTGACCTGTGCTAATGGGGTATAGTAACTTGGACCGATGTACAAACACGGCAGGTTCTACGTTGTGACTGACAACAATATGTTATAACAGTTCTCATTAGGCCAGAAGCTTAGCATCAAGTTTCAAATATAATCCCTTAATAGTTCTATTATACCCCACACATGTTAAAAAGGAATTGCTGAACGAATTTTTGATGAATCAGAATTATACGTTTTACAATTTTCGCTGAAACTATCAACAAAGATTAAATATGTTAATAATATGCACATTGCAAAAAGTAGTCAAATAAAGACAAATAAAAAATATTTCAGCTGAATCCGTTTAACCTTTGTATATTATCTAATCGAGTAAGAAAAAATCTTGAAAACAAAACTGAAATAAAATATGATATAAAGTAGCATTAAAAAAGGTCAATAAATTGACTTCAAAACTGTCACTTAGTGTTTCGTGTTTTATTTTGATGAAAGTACAAATAATATCTTGCTATGTAACTACACAGTAAAAAGATAACATATATAAAATATAACATGAAATCATGGGCACAAACATATACATATGGCACGGTTATTAAACACGTTTACGATCAGTAAGGACACGCATAATAGAACCAGCTTTGCCGTAAGTATACACCTGAGGAAAAAACGGTGAGACATTTTATTAAGAACAAAAATTTTAACAAAAATTCAGGATACAATCGTATAAGCCACGTTAATTTATTTAGTTCAATAACAACTAACAGGAAATTAGTATGTTTTCTTTAAATTTCAATGTTAGGATGAAGTACAATTACCTGTAGAACTGTCAAACACACCAACCTCTGAGATCAATGAACTGAATGACATTTTTCTTGATCATTTTAACAAACTTATGATATCGGACTCGCGCAATATTACAACAACAAAATAACAGAAATTACTTTTCCATTGCTTAAACGGAAGTAAATAAAGTAGCTTTCAAAGTAATGGTCTAATGGTTGAGTAACAATTATTTGAACAGCGCAGTCATATTAACATTACTTTTCCCCAAGACGTCAGACAGTCGTCATCAAGCTCATTAGTTTTAAAATCATGTGATTAAGTGCTTATTGATTAATTTGATCAAAAATCACACTATATCAAGAACTGTGTTGAGTTTCATAGTGTTACTGGTTAAAATAGGGAATTATTCTAGATTGTCTTACTTTAATTGACTTTTTGCAGCATTTTAGGTGGTCACTTCTTATGAACTAACTAAATATGCTTATCTGCAAACGATACACACGGAGAAGAATAGGAACCATGTTAAAGCACACTGAATATATACCAAAACTGTAATCCATGTTGGGAAAAACCGAATACTGGGATAAATTATGAAGATTTGATAACATAAATCTTTAGTAATGTATGTTATTACTTTACTTAGTGTACGGAAAATCAAAAATTCAATCGTTTGGTAAACTTAACCTAATTTTGGAGACCAGTACTTTCAAGTCACACTAGATACCATTATCGGTATAACTACAGAGATAATTCTACTATGGAATTGTTAACAACTAGTGGATCAACATAAGTGCATACAAAATATATTAACCAGTTAATTTCATACTAAATATTATTTTTTAAACAATCACAGTGTATATAACAGATTTTTAAGCGTACCTTTTCATGCCATGTCAACAGTGTTGCACAACTTATCTCTTGTGGTTGTTCAAATCCACGATAAATATATTTCATAAGTAAATCAATTTTATCTTGATCCATAGATGACAAAAATTCATCAATATTTTGGTTGGATTTAAATTGTGATAGCAAACGCATCATCAATTTGAATACTGTATCCTTAGTTTGTTGATCTTTTGAATTAATTGGTGCATTTTGTAATATGTTCAAAATAGCATCTGTAGACTTTCCACTCGAGATTAAACTATTGATTTCAGAAATATTCAACCTAGACGGTTTAATATCCTCCGTTAATTCATCCTGAAATGTTGGTTCAGTCAACTGGTCAACATTCACCATTCGAAATTTCGTATTTCCGGTATTTATAGCCATTTATAACGGAGAAGGGAAAAGAAATATAATGACCAAACAGCTAATTAGAGCGACGATTTCACAGTAGAATATGAATGCACAGAAAGTAGATGTAGAATGCGGTAAACGATATCTTAAAAATTTCAAAATAAATGAAAATAAAAAGATCAATATACTTAGCAATCGATCAATGATTTCCGGATGAAATGTAGGTCATGTAATTAAGAAAAACTTAAATGAAAATATATATAACGGCCATATTATTGATATATTTTAGAAGAGAATAGTTTACAAATAAGAAAAATCACAAACTGGAAGGACTAAAACCATTTAGACTCTTTAGACAGATAATCAGTAGTGTTCTAAATTGCTGTCATTTTACAGTCACTCAGTTACTGCCGCACTCATACACTGACAACCCTAGAAGCTTACTCTGCTAAAGTATTATACCGAATATCATTGCAAATTACTGAAGAGTGAGGGTTTCCAAGATAAACTAGGTGGTTGTGAGAATATAGATCGATCCGATAAAATTTAATATCCCAAATATGAGACACAGAGAACTCATTCTTAAAAATAACCATTCCTTACTATTATATTACAATGTACGGACACGTACTCATTCCATTCAATAGTTAGTCATATGATCCTTTATTTAGTTATTCGTTCATTTGAACGCAGATATTGGTACAATGGTGCACCAAATACAAATGCGCCACACAATAATGTGGTTGTGAAGAGATGGAGGATACAAAGTGCTTATAATAAAAAGAAAAGCAAGAATGAACAGAAATCGATGCATGAGAGTGAAATAATAATAATACTTAGTGTGAGCAGTTCGATCAGGAAAAATACAACCAGAACGAATTCCTTCGGTTAAAAAAGCTGCGTTCACTTTTATAAAGAAAGTAAGAGAAGACTACAGCAGGACTGCCAGTGATTTTTGTTTTGAGCTATTTATGATAACGTCTAAAGCTAATGTGTTGCGCTACCTCTAGGACCCCAACCAGGGAGTTGTAAAAGGACAAACAGGAGCCAATCCTGTACAGCTTTATTTTATACCACGACACTATGTCGTGCATTAATAACCTCTCTGCTTTTGCTAACCAGTCCCGGTGTCGGCAAACAATGCGCGATGTGCAGTTCGCTGGGACAACATTCGTAGGATGCGTCCAAGACAGTGGCACCAATTGAAGTATCGTCGCTGTGGTCCAGCATAAGATGCCGAACCCCTGCATTACTAGCATGGTGTTGCCACTGGATGTCAGCAATCCTTCGGAGACAACAATGGTCAAACAAAGGGAGTCGTCTAGCATTCTAAACTGGTAGATTAGGTTTTACAATCATAAAATAAAACTGTCCGCACCAGCGTGTTGTAGATCCAAGCTTTGACTTGCCCCTAAATGCCCTGATGCGACTGAGGGTGGGGAGAGTCCGATCTCCCCGAAATGCACTCACATGGCCACGCGTATACAGCCACTACCAGGGAAGTCCTACTCACTGACTTCTCGTGGCGGGGGTGTTGTTTACGAAATTGAGAGGATGAAAAGCGAATGTTCGGCGCTTCAAACAGGGTTGGTGGACACAGCGGGTCCATCCATGGGATTTGGAGGCCCTGATTCCAAACCAATGGTGTACATAGGCTCCAAGATCCTTAAGGAAACAAACGGAGTACGAACCAATTACTGGACACCGGCTACCATGGGACTGGATTTTATGACGTTGCTCCACTGCCTTGTGGACCAGACCCTTAGAACGAAGGCTCCAGGTGTCGCCCCTAAGAAAACCACCTGCTTCTGTTCGGGCACTCGAGAAGTATCACAGTCTACACACAAACCAAGTAACTTGTGTGTCGCATATGTATTCGGTGCCTCTTTGTACCAATATGTGTTCAAATAAATAAAAAAAGCCGAAATAACACCATGAAGGCGCCAAAGATGGTTCAGATTGGTATAAGCTACTCTGGTTTTCACTAAACGTGAATTAGTCTCATAACCGACGCCACCACCAGCACTTACGCAGTTATTCAGACACAAACATTTCGGCTACTTCTATCTGCTCACCACCGAGAGTGAGCGCAGGTCCAAGGTCCTCCCAGTCTCGTAGAAGCACTTCGCACTTGGAAGGTACGAAGCACATGTCATACCTGCGGACACTGATTGACAACTGATTAAGTGCGGATTGGACGGCTTGTGTATCATTTCACAGCAAGACATTATCATCTGCATGCTCAAGGTCGAGAAGTCTTTCTCCGGGCAACAGATCCATACCACCATTACCTACATTTATCAGAGCTGTTTTCAGAACATGATCGATGGCAAAGCAATGCAACTTTGTACTAACTTTTTGAAGTAATATTTCGAAAAGTACTGATAAGACTACAAACTACCAATCTTACAAACCCTAAAGAATTCGGAACTATGTACAGATTTACAAAATACCGAAACTCAGATTGAAGCGGGTGAAGCATCACAGTAAATATGTTAGAAACTAAATCCATAACTGACATTTCCAATGGTTTAACAGAGTAATTTGGAATTCATTGCCCTAAGAAATGTGCGTTAAATACAGTTCTAATTAATGTGTTTAGCGTAGAGTCACTAATACTTTTCTGGTAATTGACCACGTTTGGTATGGATATGGGACATCTAATAACTATTATTTCTTACAAGGACTCGCGTTATTACTTTATACATATGGAAAGATTTAATAACTCTGTGTAGCCTTTTTTTAAATGTATTGCTAGTAGAGCTCAGAAAACCAACATATTATTCAATAACAATTCTGGGAGCCTAAAAATAGTCATTATGCATAGTCATGAATAGTCCTGAAATATATTGACTACCACTGAGACTACCACACGAGAAATGTCAGGACAATCTTAACTAAAAAGACATAAAAATCAGTTTTGTGATGAAATTGAAGTAATATAGTGGTTCCAAAGTTTTTATTGGATGTAAGAAACGGGTACCCTCGAGCAGGCAAATATCTCGGGATCTAGATCTATAAACTGTCAACACAGTTTAAGTCTTTCAAAAATATTCTATGGACGGCACAGGGAAAGAACAGATACAACAGTCAAATTAATTAATATTACAGCCGAACAGTAACTAATCTTCAAAGCTTAACAATGTAAGGACTGTCACAAATGTTTGGGGACACATGTGTATAACAAAGAAATTAACCCATCACAAATAGTAACGACAAAATCGTTAGATCAAGAAAAATAAAACAAACTGAAACTAGGAGTCGGCACAATCATATCTCATAAACGTTAGACACAACAGAAAGATACGAAGCAAAGGTCAGCCTAACATTGAAACCACCTCTCTTCCAACAACCTTGAGCGGTTTTTCTCACGATGGACATTCCATATATAAACTACCTCAGGTCATTGACTTATCGTAGACTTTCTTAACTTCGTAGTATTTGTGGATTTTGGAAACCTGTACATTTAAGAAGACACTGAATGACGGATAGTCACGTGTATCGCATATCTTTCTCTGTCTGAGCTAAATAAAACACTTGTAACACGTTGTTTAAGTGTTGAGTTTGGATATTTCCTACTTTTGTGATTGCGCTTGTTACTCTCTGAACTGATCCAATAGCAACACTGCGTTAATTAGTCCTGAAATTATTCCAAGCGAATTAAAGGATGCTTTCCGGTAAATAAAACTATTTCAAAGGTTCTTGATACGGGGTGAGATTGATATTGACTTAAAATGTTTCCGATGCCTAAAAAAAGCATGATCTCGATAATTAAAGATAGCATGTATGGATTGCGTCCGTCTACAAAAAGGAGGTGTATATTGGACGTCGTAAATATCTATTAGTTATCTTCAAGTGCACGTTTTGTTTGAAAAGAGAATCGCGAGAAAATCGCCATAGTTAGCAAACCATAATACCATTAAATTACGTAACAACGCAGATATAAGTTTTGTGGCAGAAATTCAACTTTTCTAGTAGCCTAAAGTAATGGCACATTTTTAAGTTGGTCTACAATTATGTGTATAAATAGAATTATGATATGCGATTCATGAAATACCATTTCCCTTATGAAGAAAAAAGTTTAGGCTGCACATCTCTACAGTCCTTCAAGTTTAGCCAGATAACGGAATTTAAGGAACAAAAATTTCACTGAAAAAATGCTCACTGAAAAGAACTTAAAATCAGAAATCGACTCGAGTGTGTTGTGGATTAAATTCAGGTTCGCACTACCCAGTGTACTATTTCAAAATTGAACGTTGAGAGAATATTGTTTCGATTACCGGAATTCAATATGTGTGCTCTCCAACACAAGAATACGAGGAAATCTGCTGAAAATTTTCTGAAGTATTATCTATCGATTTCACATGTAGCATTAATAAGAAAGGTAAGAGTATTACTTTGTGAATATAAATGTAATTGCTCATTGTTCCCACTTGTTGTAACGGATAACTGTGGATATCTTCATCCTTTTATGTCCTCGGGGACACAAAAATCAGTAGCTGATCATGCAATATAGATCCTAAACATATTTTTTAATAAAACGGGGATACATCATGTAACGAAAGAGCGACAAAAAAAACGATGGTAAGCATAGCACATTAGCTTACAAACATAACACTCTGCCCTTTTTATTTTTTCAAGCCATTTCGTCAGACTGCATTTGCAATTCGATCCGCAATCAAACAGTTGTACGTAGTCAATAGATACCTTAGTAAAAGCATATCTGTATCAACTGGTAAACAGTAGGACATTTTGCAAAGTAAGCTACAAACTACTGATTTTGTATAGCTTCAACCACTACATACGTCTCATATAATGTATGGCACGTGGTATCAAGTAGTATCACACGAAGTACTGATGAATCTGTAAAGAAATGAGAGCAGTTGTATATCTTGGAAAACCTCGCTCACAAAATATTCGCGTCATACCATCGCCAACTGAAGCGAAACTCTAAGAAACAATACCTGTTGAAAACAACGGTGAAAATTTTAGAAATGAAATGTTCGGACATCCAGTGGGACGAACATTAGGCATTAATGACAGCCCACAAGAACTATGGACAAACAGTTCCTGAGAAATTACGTGATTTGTTGAGGAATTTTGCTAAGTTTATCTCCAAGAACGTCTTGCATGGGTTGAAGAGGACGATTTGCCTGAGTACTGATTACAAAAGTCAAAATTATGTGAGAAAGTCGACAGATAGATTGTAACTAACTTGTTCTGGGCTTTTGAACATTTTTGGTGTCTCGCGGAATTTCAGCTTTCGGATTCTGGAAATCAACTTAGCTGCGATTCTTTCATGTTTTACGACTGCTCACCTTTCTTTTAACCAGGAGCTGGCTGTTTGTTTTTAATACTCAAGTTTGGTAAGAATAAACACTGTAAACGAAGTCGAAAACCTTTCGTCATTCACATGGGTACGGCTCTACTTACTGACCAGAGAGCTAAGAAACCTTTGGCAGAAATAACACATGTGCAGAAGTTCGTTTTTCAAGTATTGGTTAAAAGTGAGACCCAGGTCATTGTTTTTCTGGACAACAAGTAGCTCTGTGTAAGTTACCGAGTATGTGGACTATAATGCACTGGAAGGGATTTATCAACAGCTCCATAGCTCTATACCATTCGGATAATTTCTGCAAGCAATCTTGATGCGCTAAACTATTATTTTCAGTACATTTGCTTTCCATGAGTTTGGTCTGAATTCAGCTAACTTATTGCTATTAGCAGCCATAAGTAAATTCCAAACTAGATGTTCATGGTCACCCTTAGTTAGGAGTAGTATGTAAACTCCAACTCATTATGGGGACCTTTCTCGATTATTTTGCGATGCATGCGATGCAAGTAAGGTTAAAAGATATCCCAGCATTTTGCATCCAAACAGCGTGGCATGAAGCATCGGAGAGCTTACATCTGTGGAACTATTATCTACTTCTTTATTAGTACTGCTCGAATAATAAACTTCAACCTTAGATTGTAGATTTTTCATGTGGATACCTAATCTATATGATCTTACGTGGAAGTTACATCATTGTCCACACTGACTTATCGTATCGTAACAATTGGCAATATGATTGGCGTTTCCAAAGAACACATTTGGGCTGGAGATAGAACAATATATTTAATGCGAATAAAAGTTACAAGTTGTACACTAAGCTTCGTCACGCCATCCAATGAATTGAATTCATTTTCTCGTGTTTTCCATAGTTGGCTTTCTTTTCGTGTCAGTTGTTGAATGAAAGTTCTTTAATTAACTATATGCTCTGCCTGAAAGATCGTGTGGTTAGGGTCCAATGCCGATATGCATTCATCCTTTCCTCACATGGTTGACACTAAGACATTTTGTGACGTGAGTATAGGAATAATGACTCATAACTTAGTATCTCCCCGGGGTAAAGCCTTCGGGTCATTTTGCTATTCATCACCTCACGTCTTAAATTGGAGTACGGCTGGGACACTACAGAGTTCAAAATTAAGTTACAGGATTCCTTAGTATTTGAAGGAGGAAACTATGATGTTTGGAAGTATTTGAATTATCGTATGAACTAGGAATCCCAGAATTAACGCAACTGAATTAAGAAGTACGGCACAACCACAAATGAATGTATTGTATTTGGAATTCGAAATCGAGCAATCCACAAGTACAGAGGTATCACTGGTTCGTTCAAACACAACAGAAACACAAAACAGATGTCTCTCCATCGAATTCTCCAAGACCTAATACGTTGCATCGTGAAGAAATGTTTCAGTTGATCTAACATTAATTCAGGGTCACTAAAGTTAAATCGTAGGGGTTGGGATTTCTTGACCATAACCCTGCCCATCTCTACAGGTGACAATTTATGATTATGTATGTCCAACGATTATAAGCACCTGTTTTAAGTTGTGACAAAGTTGTCGTTAACGATTTGTACCATTTCTAGATTTATAGGATCTTAAGCGTTCGGTCCTGAGAGAGCACCGCCACTTCGTTCGTAGACATTAGTATGGTCATGAATCTGTTGAGTGGTTTTAAATAAGCTCTTATTTTGCGTGATAAGTTAGTGTGGGAATACATCTTGTCTCTCATCTCTTTAGCATTGGGTCTACTCCACAGTGCCAGATAAGAACTTTGATTGAAAAATATTGAGACAACTTCTCATTTATGTCAGATTATACTTTAAGCCTGATGTAGGAGTTCCCTGCAAAGATTCTATCTTTCGAATTGTCGTTACCCAGTATAGCCTCCGGAATGATATCCGTCATTATTTCTCAATGACCATCCACTGTTAGCTACGACTAATTCTGATGTCAGCGAACATTTGTCCGTAAGATCCTCCTGTAGGCATTAAGTCCTCCGCATTAAGACTTAAATGTAAATTTTCCAAGTCCATAGCTCAAAATTCATCTAAGTTAGTGGTGGCATCTTTTGATTTTAAATCTTAGTACCTATAAAAAGTGTTGTATATTCTAACCATGTGCTTGGTGTCAATCGACTTAAAACAACACTAATGACGCTCCAGACGCTTTTCCAGTTTGGTTTTGAATGACATTACTCCATTCCACATCTAAATATTGTCATACCCAGAACTCTCATTTCGTCTTTCATGTGTAGTGTCAGTTATTATGGCAAGCCCATATACCTTATTCTAACTTTCGGACATCCTATTTTATTCATTTTACTTGAGCCATATTTGACCTTGTCAATTATTCGCTTGTCAGTCTTGACTGTTTTTTTATATGAGCGTATATGAGTGTACATTTCATGTCACATGATTCATTGTATGTCTGTAGCTTATTTTGTCTGCCTATAAATATGGAATAACACTTGACTAAAACGGAGTTGGCTTCCCAGCCATCTTCCCTGTGCGTCATTTTGCTTGGCTCTGTTTCATTCACTTCATATGCAAAATATATGTATTCAAATGCCATTCTCGTTAATTGACTTATTTAATTCCGTTATGGACTAACGCGGTCTAAGTCGACGATGATAAACGAGAATAGGTGATAACAAACATTCATACAATCTAAATGGAGTCAGATTCACGGGCCACTAAAGTGGTGAGCCCGACGTGGGCATCAACATTGGTAAGCCCGCCGACGACGAACGCAACGCAGCAAGCTACGTCGATGAAGGCACTTCTGCACTCTATACGTTCGACGAACATATTCAGCGAAACCAGCGCAATCTCCAATCCGACGCAATCAGCACAGCCTGTGCAACATGACATGGACATGCTCAAGTCGTATTATCTTATCGATACTTTGTCCTCATGTCAATTATCCTCATTGATACATTTTTCGGATTGTCCCATTACGATTCAAATTATCATTATATGCTTATTATTACATTATTATCAATATCATGACCGAATGTGGAATTATTAATCTTGTTCGTGCTGTCACTAAATTATGACATTTTCGCAATCATTTCA